GTAAACTTAAAAATGAAGGCTTTTGTTGTTTAGTGCAATGTGTTAATTTGAATATTCTGCTTTATTTTTTTGATATGTGATAATAAGTTTAATTAATCATTACATTCTAATATTACACTTACACTACCTTTTTCTGACGATATTGTAACTAAGTGAACTTACTGTTGTGAACATTTATATAATTTTCATTTATATAATATATTTTCAAATATTTACTGCAACAGCTTTTAAGTGTTTGATGATACAAAAGTTTGCACACGACGTTTATCATTTTACTGCACCCGTCTCTATTCGGACATGCATTAATCCTCACCGTTCATCCCATTACCTTTTCAATGATATATGTACATCTTGCAAGCTGTGAATGATTGATGCTAAAACGTGTTTGCTTGGGAATGATTGATTTTGTATAACAAATCCACACGAGCCAATACACTCTGACAAGTATCAACCTACACCGTTTATCGAAAGGTAAGATGTCTGTGTTTCTATTTCGCTTTTCATTTTTTATGAAGTACAATAATACACATGATATACACATGATAATACATAATTGACAGCTGTCTAGGCTTGGTGGGATTAATTTCAATCCTTTGGCTTCCAGATTGCTTGGCAATTATATCAATTATGTCATTACTTGCCTACAGATTCGATTTTATTATCACAATGATCTAAAGATTCACATTCCGAATAATCCGTTATTTATGTTCTAGGAGAGAATACCGTAAACGGCGATCACTCGGACGCTCATCACAGTACTTTTTCGCAAAGTAGCAAGGAGGTTTGTCGCAATACTTATAATATCAAAGCCGTACATATATCATATGCGGGGAATCGGAAATTAATTTTTTACGCCTTTTATTATTCATATTTGAAGCGATTCTTGATACATTTATACACAAATCAATTTAGATTACTGTTTTTTTTTATTGTTGGCTCTCTAAAATAATGAACTTAAACAAATCTCCGCATATGTACGTCGGGTTTTTTCACATATCACATTACATTTCTCATGCATTCATTAACACATGGGAATGCTATTTTAATCAAACATAAAATAAGATATTTCTTAATTTATAATATTATAAGAAGAGATATAGAGCGTGTTTTCGAATTCGAGCGAATTGTCGCTTCACTTTTTGCATTAATTTTCACAATACAGCCGGCATATAGTCGTTCATAGATTCGCCTTCCACACACTCTTCTATTGTATCGATTTGCATGCGACCAGATAATTGGCTAATAGAACGATTAAGCGTGAAAGTTCGACGCTCTATGCATGTGCATGCAGAAAGGTTTATGGTTACGGTTGGGACCTTCCGTGTTAAGGGTTCCATGTCGCAGGATGTGAGCGTTAGCGAGGAATCGCCAAAGAAGGAAAAGAAGAAGAAGAAGGGCCTTAGGACGCCATCCTTCCTTAAAAAGAAGAAGGAAAAGAAGAAGTCGGTCGAGGCGTAGGTAGTCGTAGCTCAGGTAAGCGGTGCAGTCAATCTGTCTTAGTCTCTAGATTTTGATACCGACGTAAAGATTATTTAGATTTGCGAACAAATATATTTACGGATCTGTTGAACGTCATCTTTATTTTATGAACGTTAGTATGCTTATGCGTTTGCTAAAGCGTTTCTTATAATCTATGATCTACAAATCGATCATACGATCGAGCGAGTCGCTATTTCTTCTTTTAGACTTTTTCTCTCTTATGATATACAACTGTAATTTTGGAGAGTAACTGCCATTTTTCGATGAATAATGAAAAATTTCAGCAACTCGCTCGCTCGCTCAATCGATCGTCCCCAGTCGACGTGGTTAGTTTGTTGAACCCGAGTGTTGCTCATTGAAGGTATGGAAGAAAAATTAAAAGCTTTTCCTTTAGAGACTAGACGCGCTCGCGCTAAATTTTATTCATATGGCTGCAGCAAAGATCAAGTCGTGGTTTTTTTTATAGAATTACATTCGCGTAAATAAATAAATAAGTATATATATATATATTTTTTTTTTCTTTTTTATTTATAACAATATTATGAAGCGTAGTGAGACACCAAACGGTATTGACCTTGAATTAACATCTATATTTCCAGACACTGCCACAAGCAAAAGCTTCTCGTAAAAAATAAAACGAACATGCAAGTTTAAACTCAAGATTGGATACGAGCTCGGTTTAAAATAAAAGACGAGATTCGACGAGTAACGAAGAAACGAAGCACAGACGAATGGCGGAAGATAAAACGGAGATGGATAGAGGAGAATGCGCGAAGAAAAATCGAAGCGAACGAGCAACAATCACAGCATCTTTCCAGGACTCAAGACTGCCATCGCATTACGTCTACGATAAGGAAACTATATTGTACTGTTAATGTTTTTACGTTTTTAATTTGTTAAGCGTCGCGCTAATGTATTTAATCCGCTATTTAATTTTGCCTCTCCTGTCCCGTTTGTGTGTAACGCAATAAAGAGTTACATATGCATACTTTGCGACGAAGAAAGACAGACAGAGAGAAAGAGAGGCGTCATTATTATTATTATCTTTATTATTTTATTCGCCAATGTCGACGCCGTTGCCGTTGCCCTCATCGTTGTCGTCGTAATTCTCGTCCTCTTTCTGCTCGTCGTCGTCATCATCGTCGCTGCCGCCGTCGTCGTCTTCGTTATTATCATTATCATCGTCATCGTTATCGTTATCGTTATCATTCATTATCATTGCCGCCATCGCCATTATCATAGTCATCTTCGCCGTCGTTGTCGACGTTGTTGCTATTTGCTTCTACTGTATTTTTTTTCCTCTTTCTCAAGATTGTCTTAATTCTTTGATTGTAACTGGTAATTTTTAGATTAGGAGAAAAATGTCGTATGATCTCTCTCTTAGAACGGAGGGATGGCAATAGTTCACGGCGCGTAAAGTTTGCGCGAATGTTAATCGAATATACGAAACATATTTTATCTCGAACGATTCGTGGATTTACTGGGCTGATACTGGATCAGTTTTATCGCGAAGAAAAAAGGAAGTAGAAGTGAATGCGAAAGGCTGTGTTCTAGATTTTGAAGCTGGCGTGCGAAAGAAATGCGTAGCGAGAATATGGATCTCACGACTGTCCTCTTGTATCAAAAGCATCCCGGACAATAGAAATCGCCTGACTCCCGGACTGATGTACTCGTCTTCGTGATATGTATAAAGTAATTTGTGCCGTACGGATAGCCCATCGATTACGATTGTTATCGAGTTGAAAACTTTATTACAAACTATCTATCGATTGGCGCTTATATCGACATAATATTTTATGTCAACTGAATAAAAAGAAATAGTAATACTGACAGTAAATCATGCCTCACGGCGACATTCATCAGCTTGTATTGTTACCAAATTTAAACAATCGGTAAACTTAGGTATGTCTATTAAAAGGATGTAAAGTAGATTCAGAATGGAACTGAAGTGGAAACGAAATACGGCGACGTGTGCTTTCACGAAATTTCCAATTTTATCTATTCGACCTAACGAAATAGTTTAAAACTTTTTCGGAGTTTATTATGCTAAATATTCGTTGTACATACAGAAGTGCAAAACCGTGTAATAATTTTTGCTTTTTCCTTTCCTTTTACAGATTAATTATTCATTGATATGTAAAAACGTGCCTTTCGTACCTTCGTCAATCGATTAGTCTTTAGCATTCGATCGTTTCAATCCTTACCGTATATCTACTGATTTATTAATTGAGTGATCGTTCGATTTGGTCGTCACACGTCATTTGCTGTTGAATAACATCTTTTTGCAGTAATTTCAACAAGTCGAACTTGGTTGGACCAAGTAAGTAAGAATATCTTTCCTAGAGTCGTGTTGTCAATATAGTCATTAATTAAATAAGAAATTACTTAAAAAGCAATCGAAGCCGCGATGCGGAACGTTGCAATTATTCGTGATTCTCTTTGACTTGTTGAAGCTGTTGAGGAATGTTGTTCAAATTGATAATTCGAGCACTAATGATTACGTTTCTTTATCCGATAATTAATGATCGACCGCTTACAACGTGTGTTTTGTACAAATAAAGTCGACGTTATATCTATATATAACATGTATAACTGTATGTATATCTATGTATAACACCGAGTCGGTGTTATATGTAGAATCGATCGAGTATATGTGAACGAGAAGGATATATAGTGCTGTTTTAACAGTTTGAGCATTATGAATCATTCATGCTCGAAGTAGCTAGAAGGACTAGAATAGATAATATGAGAACGAAATAAAGCGCACATGCACATTGGCTTGCAAGTTTTTTGTTTTTATCGAAATGCATGCGCTAGAAATGGAAATTTTAATATATTTTATTCGGCACTGTTTTTATCGAGATTGATGTTGACGACCGTGATTATTATTTCCACTATTAATTTTTAGTTTATTATCAAAATATTTTATTAATATTATTACTACTATTATTATTATAATTTTATTATTAAGGTCAACGCTATTACCATCGCTGCATTATATCTAAAGTGCAACATAATTGCGAGCTGAGCTCGTGATGAAATCGAATTTGCACGTCGTGCTTTCTTCCTCTAACGACGATTCATCGCGAGATCACACATGCTTCATCGATTTGACTATGGCACATCTGTGAACGAAGAAATATATTCGCCCATATATACTTTCTTCTCGCCTCCTCTCCTCTTCATCCTTCACTTATATTCACGTATCATGTAATGATCGATAATAATTGTATGATCGAAGACTTATATTAATGCAATCTATTATTGTATAATGGTTGATATAATATATAAATAATATTACAACAAAAATACACAAGAAAGTATTTTTAGATGTGCTTATATTTTTCAGTAGTTGTTTCTTCGAACAATACCATAAGTGACAGATTGTTGTAAAGGAACCGAATATGAGCCTCTTGTCAAAAATTCCACGAGGATCAGATCGGGATCGAATAAGAAGCAGTGGGTAAAATTAACATATCGCAGTAGATTGCTTCGAATTGCGTTACAAAATCAGGCAAAACTCGCGATGAGCGATAAATGGTAAGCGTCACAGTATAAATATATGAAATATGAAAAGGCAAGAATAGGAAAATCTCGATCTTTTCTAGTATTCTTCCGCACCATCTCCTTCGCCATCGATGGAGTCCATGCCGACTTCTTCGTAATCCTTCTCCAAAGCGGCGAGATCCTCCCGTGCCTCTGAGAACTCACCCTCTTCCATCCCTTCGCCGACGTACCAATGCACGAAGGCTCTCTTTGCGTACATCAGATCGAATTTGTGATCGAGCCGCGCCCAAGCCTCGGCAATCGCCGTCGTATTGGATAACATACAGACGGCACGCTGCACCTTGGCGAGATCACCGCCGGGAACGACGGTGGGCGGTTGATAATTGATGCCGACCTTGAATCCCGTCGGGCACCAATCAACAAATTGAATGCTGCGTTTGGTCTTGATAGTCGCGATTGCCGCGTTAACGTCCTTCGGCACTACGTCGCCTCTATAGAGCATGCAACATGCCATGTACTTTCCATGACGAGGGTCACACTTGACCATCTGATTTGCGGGCTCGAAGCAGGCGTTTGTTATCTCGGCAACGGAGAGTTGCTCGTGATATGCCTTTTCCGCGGATATGACGGGAGCGTAGGTGACCAGAGGGAAGTGGATTCTGGGATAGGGCACCAGGTTCGTTTGAAATTCTGTCAGGTCGACGTTAAGCGCGCCGTCGAAGCGCAGCGAGGCCGTGATCGAAGACACGATCTGGCCGATTAGGCGGTTCAAATTAGTGTAAGTTGGCCGTTCGATGTCCAAGTTGCGTCTACAAATGTCGTATATGGCCTCGTTATCCACCATAAACGCGCAGTCGGAGTGTTCGAGGGTGGTGTGCGTCGTAAGAATCGAATTATACGGCTCGACAACGGCTGTAGAGACCTGGGGCGCCGGATAAATCGCAAACTCGAGTTTCGACTTTTTTCCATAATCTACCGACAGTCGTTCCATCAACAGAGACGTGAAGCCAGAACCGGTGCCACCGCCGAACGAATGGAAAATCAAGAAGCCCTGGAGTCCCGTGCATTGATCCGCCAGCTTGCGAACGCGATCCAAAACGAGGTCCACTATCTCTTTGCCGATCGTGTAGTGGCCGCGTGCATAATTGTTGGCAGCATCCTCTTTGCCGGTTATTAACTGCTCCGGATGGAAGAGTTGCCGGTATGTGCCTGTACGCACCTCATCTAAAAGAGCATCGGTAGATCAAATTCGATCATCCAGTTTCGCTGCATAAAATATCATATCGCACTTACCCACGACGGTCGGCTCGAGATCGACGAAGACCGCTCTGGGTACATGTTTCCCGGCGCCGGTTTCGCTGAAGAAGGTGTTGAAACTGTCGTCACCGCCTCCGAGTATCTTGTCTGACGGCATTTGCCCATCGGGTTGAATACCATGCTCTAAACAGTACAGTTCCCAGCAGGCATTTCCGATTTGTACTCCCGCCTGCCCTACGTGGACGGATATACATTCACGCTGCAAATGATATATTACACAATTAGTTGCAGTTTTTCTGATGATAAACTGATTTGTTTTTTATTAAAATCCACTTTAGAAATCTTATGTCAGTGATTAGATTTATATAATTTATGTAAATAAGTTGCTTATATAAGCCTCCGCGATTGTTAATACTTTTTAATAATATATCTATAGTATTGTCTTATAAATATATTATTTATGTGCATTAATAATCGTGAAAACTCATATAGATAATTTATATTTGCAGATTTATTCTTTGGTGACACAAAGTTACAATATTTTTATTTTTATTTATAATTTAAATCTAATTTGTGACGAAATTCTAATTATAATTTTATATACGCATATCATAATGCATAAAAAATATATGAAGAATCAGAATATTATATACAGGATGTCCCGTAAGTTTTTGTCAAACGCTTTTGTGTAGATAGAGCGGACTAAACTGAGTCGAAAAGTTCTTTAGCACACATTTTGCAATTTTCACGATAGTTAACAAGATTACTGAAAATTACCGAATAATGCTTGAATAATTTTTTACTCAAATACTACTCAACTTTACAAAAAAACTGCACTTTTCATAAAGTTCTGAGAATTTTTTCAGAATTTTTTCAAACTTTTTTAATATCGTATTTCCTTATGTTGGTAAAAATAAGAAAATGCAGTACTAAAAAGTTGATAAAAAATTCTGAAAAAATTCTTATGGCCATTCTAGTTGGAAATTGACGACTGTGTCAATGACGATTGGTCAATTTCCAGCTTCTAACTTCTGATTTATGACTAATGGCTTATTGTAAAATGCGTGTTACAGTTCTATGAGAAGAAAATTAATGATTTTTGTCTCTCATTGTTTTTCTGTAAAGTTGATAGTATTTGAGTAAAAAATTATTGAAAACCAATATTCAGCGATTTTTAGTACAATAATTAATATCTAATCATTGCGAAAATTGCAAAATGATAGAGGACTTTTCGATTCAGTTTAGTCTATCTATACAAAAACGGTTGGCAAAAACTTACAGGATACCCTGTATAGTACAATATAAAATGTATATTAGAGTACACAGATGTATATACTATATCTCTACTGAAAAAAAATCACGTCATTTATCAGTTGCATGATGAAATCACGCAATTAAAACATGTAAATCACGTAACGGATTGTTCTAAATCAGTACGTGATTTTTTTTTAATTACGTAATTTGCAAAATTACATGATGATATATCTTTTCTCTTATTTCTATTATTCAAATCTTCAAAATTCGATAACTATAAAATCACATGATGGATGAAATTATTTCTAATATCAAATTATATAATTTTAAAAAATCATGTATTGATTTGGAACAATTCAGTTAAGTGATTTACATGATTTCATCATGTAACGTTGACATAACATGATTTTTTTTCAGTAAGGATCAAAATACGTAAGATAACAAAATACACAGATAGAATTCTAATGTTTTCTAACACAATGATCATAGAAAATTTAAAGGAAAAGATTTTTATCACATAACAAATATCTGAGTACAATGCCGACTATAATACATGCATGTACGTAGGACGCTCCAGGGTTATTAGCAAAGATCGTATGAATAGAAATCAAATACAGTCCTGTGAATATATTTTTCTTCATATCGCTGCTGAGACAAGCTATTCGCTGCAGCGAAGCTTGTCGCATTGCGTCGTGCGAATTTTTGTTTCTAAAAGTAGCAGCAACGTAATGCAACTGCGGACATCACTTGCGCCAATACTCATTTCATCTTTAGATAAGATTTGCTATGCTCCACGCGGCAAAAAAAATTTTAATAAATTATATAGAAAAATATAGAATTAAATTTTAAGAAACGATTATAATAGATCTCGAAGGCTGTACTCTTTAATACTTTTTCTTCCAAAGAGACAACATTTATTTGCGATCAGATGCCTTGAAAGATACCAGGTCTTACTTGGCAAATACTACAACTAACAGCATTATTATATCAATATTATAATTTCTCATTCAACAATATAAATGAATATAACTCATGTTGTAGGTAACAATTATATATTATTGAGTATTATGACTGATGTATCTATAATACAAGTGTATATGTAACTATAAATTGATGTAATGTTACTGTTAATTGGTTCGAACGGTTGCCTATAGAGATAAAAATGAATGAAAAAAGCAGTTTTTTACTGACACCGGTCATGTTCATCTCTAATTCCAGCGAGTCTTGCTAATGGCTGCGTTCAGCAAAAAAAAAAGCAGCATTGCAATTATTGTAATAGATATTGTAAGTCTTTAAGAAGGTTGTAAAGCAAATGCAATATATCAAGAATTATATTGGAAAAAATTACAGATTATTCTAAATTGCATTTATAAAAGTAACACAAAAAAATTAGAGACAGTTTATCATTTGTATCAAAAATTATTTTAATAAAAAGTAACATTTTTTTTAATTTGT